AGACCAAATACTGTAGTTTTTGCTCCGTTTTCAGTAAATTTAATTTCCCTGAGTAAAGATGGAAAGACCAGCCTACAATGGGGTATGTTCACCTTTCAACATGTAGGATATTATGTCATTGGGTAGAGCAGTAGGGTTATTAACTGGAATATGTCACTCATAAATGCAGAATCAGAGCCTCAGTCTGACCTTTCAGCCCTTCTGTTTTTTTAGTAGCGTAATACTCTTTTTGGCAATTAGCTATGACTTTACATGCTGTAGTGAACTTCTGCTTCTCCAGATGTCCGCTAGCCAAAATGGGTGACTTTTTATTCTGCATCTCATGGAAAAAGATGTGTGCAGCTTTTAAGTTTTCCTGAATGGAGAAAGTTAGAAACATATGAAACACTAAAAAAAACAAAACCAAGAAGGAATATATCCCAAATAATCATTTAGCTCTAGAGGCTTTGGATATTAAATTCCATATATTGTGAGATTCATGATAAAAATCACAGCAAAGGCAACAAGCTAGTTCCATATAAATGTGTGTCTTTACACAGAACAGCCATGTGTCTGTGGAAGACTGGCTTCCATTCAGCAGAAAAACTGTACCAAGACCAGTGGCCCTCTTGCTTTTCCACTGTCGTTCTCAATTCTTTACTATTAATTTGAGACTATTTGTGCATGTCTTCTACAGAATTATTGAAGGTAAAGGGCTTCTGACTTATTCTTATCAATATAACTCCTATCATTACTTTTCCTTGCTGGGCTGGAAAGGATAGCTTGGTTGCTATCCTGACCACTGGAACACTTCTGGTACTCTTCCACAGCCCAGATAACATCCCATTCAAAACAACATGGCTTAAAGTAAGAATATGAGTTTCTGTCTTGCTGTCCTAGCTGTGTATGGTGAGTCCTCCAAAATCCCTAGCAGCTAATATAACACTTTTTGCAGCTGGTTTGTTGGGCAACAACTTGTGAAAAAGTTACTACAGCAGGTTTCAGGACCCAGAAGGATCTCTGACCAGTACTTAAGTAATGCAATTGTCGACATGCTTCCAGGCACTAGCAAGAAGCAGCCTGTGCTTCCACCAAAAATTTTCTGCAAAACAGAAAGGGTTGAAAGTATAACTGTGGGGTATGGTATCATTCCTGACAGCTTTCTGATAGAAGTTTCTAAATGTTCACAAGCAGCTATTTGCTGTCTGTGATGTGCAATTTATCATAAGCCGGTCTGGGGGGGCGGGAAATTTTATTTATATTTCTTTTTACTCTAAAGTGCATTTTCTTCAAGAATTAGTTTGCAAATCTGCATCTTGGGACTGAATACTTTCCTTTCTGAATTTTTTTTTAAACTTTTAAACAGAAATGCAACTTCATATTAGTTGTCATCCCTGACCCAGCTTTTAGTTCTTCCTATTCTGAAGTAAGAAAGGTAGGTTTAACCTTTAGAGTAGTTTATTCTCAATTCATGTTTCTTTTCCTTGTAGCAGTAGACAAAATTATAAAAACTATATTCTAAAGATTAAAAAATACTTTCTCAGTAACACATGGTAACATTTTAATGTTTGAGTGAAAAAATCAGGAAAAATGTACTGCTTTTTAGTTGTGTTTACAGCAATATTTTGGCTATTGGTGGTAGCTAATATTTGATTATTTAAATAACTAACCATTCCAGAACAGACAAAAGCTGTCAGTCTAGATTTTCAGGAAAGAATATAAACATAAATAAAAAGAAATAAAAGTGGGTAAGTCTTCTTTTCTTAGCTTCACGTTAATTTTAAGTCAGAACCACTGGACATTTTGGATAAGAAACAACTGTAGTCCAGGAATGGATTCGCTCTTTTCATATGGTTGCTTTACTATATACATACTTTAAATGAGGATGCTAAAAGGCTGTTGTGACTTCATTGACACTTATCCAGACTCAACTAAAACCAATTCCATTACCTGCAGTCAGGGTGAGGGTGATTGCATTGTGCTGCCATAGCATACTGCAGCCCTGCACAGTCAGAGAAACCAGAGACTGATTTTCATCTCAGATATGGAAATTTAACTTTCAACTTAAATTTCTTTGCTCAAGAGGAGGTGGTCCTAACCTTGGTGTGAGTGGAAAAGTGTTTTTGTCACAGACTTTACATGCCCTTTTTGACATTTTGCTCGTCTTCCTTTGATACTAATTTCAAGAATTATACAGTAATCAATATTTTATTATTGAAAACAAATCAATATTTGTTTTCTCAAAAAGGCAAAATAAAGTGTGTTCTGTTTGGATTCATACATACAGTTGCATTGTCACTCAGTAGGTCTTTTCCACTGCCCTCCCAGCAGTAAGATAAAATAATTTAATGCACATTTTAATTTTAATGCAACAATAAGAATGCAGTGAAAGTATCTATTAATTGATACTTAAAAACCTTTGTTTGGGTGGAAAGTAAAAAATAACAAACAGAAAATATTTTCCAATATTTTTTTTTTTCCTGGTACACTTAAGGAAATTTTTCCTTTAAAAGCGAAAGTAATATTGCTAATATGATGTATTCATGTTTCACAACATTGCCATTTTTCTCGTATCTAATGCTGAGAATTACTTAATTAGGCCTAGTAATATAAATTATTAACAGCAAAGTAACAAACATTCAGGATTAACCCTACATACCAAACCAAATTTCCCACAGTGAATACTGTTTCAGTCTAAGTGTACAAATGGTCTGAAACTCACGTACAGTGTAGGAGCTGGAACATTCAAATGCAGCTTATTATATATTACTGAATAGTTACTGAGGTACTTAGCAAATTGAAAGCAACCGATGTAGTATGTAATTCAAAACCACAAAAAGGCAAGAGAAGGATCATGTTATAAAAAGAAAGTAGAGGAAAAGGGAATGTAGAATTGAATGCTGTCATTCTGTAGGATCATCTCTGAACCAGGATGCTGTTTACTGCAGCCTTTAAAAATAAGGGAAGTTTGAGGCAATACCACACACTGTCACAATGAAAGTGTTAGTCTTTTTCATACATGATGTTGGGATCTCTACATGGACAGGTGTGTCAGCACAAAAGAAAGTAATCAGGTGATCCTCAAAGGAAACTAGAACCAGCACTAGTAACAATTTCAGGAACAGCATTATCAGTTTATATACTATCCATTATTTTTGTTCGTACTAGAGAGACTGCTGTGTCAGAGTAATATAATCTTGACTACTTGGCCGGAAGGAGCACCTGAACTCCAATCATCTTCCAAAGAGCTCTGTTCTGTACTATGAGAGAGAAATATTATTCAGCCTGATGACCATTAGGGCTTACATGTCTGCTCGTGTAAACAACAGTGCAGCACAACCTAGAAGAGAAATATGCTTTCATTTGGCTCTGATGTGAGATGTGTGGAAAACTGTGTTTCCAAACACCTTGACCCATTTGCAAAGAGACTTTTCAAAGCAGGCAAATTCCAGTGAAAAGTAAGAATGGTATTTAGTACTGAAAGAGAACTTCTGTGTTATCAAATCCAATTCTTTGCCATTGCAGGCAACCATTTCACACAATCCTTTCCATCAAGTTTCAACTGAAAAGCATTTAGAGCCTTTTCTTTTTATTACTTCAACAAGGTAATTTCAGAACCTTGCTGCTCTAATGGTGTGAACCCTTCCCGCCTAACTCTATTCACAGCCCATTTATACCCATTCATTCTTCTCTCTTCCCAGGAATGAAGATAAATAGCTGTACATCACAATCATTCCTGGAGTTCCATGGGGCCATTGGTTTGCAGCTGTGTATTTGAACCTGTTCCATGTTTGGACAGTTCTCCATGCAAAAGCCTCAGAAATGTGGTGTGCAGTGTGAGAGAGAGCATGAAACCTGGAGGGATACCATATTTCATAGCCCTTGAACGGCAGCATGGATACCATTCTGTGACAATTGGGCACTACCGCATTTAGTAAGCACAGCTGGACCCCAGGGAGCAGCTCCTGAACACAGGTCCATCAGTCAGAAAATAAAAGGCCGGGGGAGGGGGAGGGGAAGACAAAATAGCCCTCTGACCTCGAATTAAAAATTGTGAGACCTGCAAACATTCTAGATACAATAAACTGTAAACCCTGGCAAATGTATAACAGCAATCAGTTGCAACACCTCCATTTTCATGGAAAGGTATGGGGATGCACACATTACATACCTATACGTGTACGCATTTATACACAGGCATATATATATTCATGTATGACTAGATACTCATGAAAATAAGACATTCAGAAAATGCTTTTAAAATAAAATACATTAAGTCTTTTTGCTCCATTCTGGGCTCACCCAGCTGTGACTGAGTGCTGCAGCGTACAGAGCATCCCACGTTTCATGGGGAAGATAGCAAGAGAGGAGGTGTTACCCAATCTGAATTCAGTCACTCACAAACACTTGAGAATGGCCTTTTGTGATTTATTTTCTTTCATTTAATTGAGAGGGACACATCCTACTGAACAAATAAAATATTGCCTGCCTGTCAGTGGAACACTGCAAAGTTTTGTTTGTTTCAAAGGACGCAACACCTGGTGTTATTTTATTCAGACTCAACATTTTAGTATTCTTCCATCATATAAGTTAAAATGTAGCTTCATTTTAAAAAAATTGAATCTCTCCTTAAACCACTGCAGTGGTGGTGGTGTAAACTAGGGCAAAATTCAGCACATCGAGTTTTAATGAAAGACAGTTTTTAAAAAGGTTCTGAAGCCATTACTAGTGTCCCAGCACACAGAAAAATGATATTGTTTAACTGGTCAGTATGCATATGACCAGCTTCTGGCTTCCTTTTCAGCCCCAGATTATAGCATGACATGTTCTCTGCATAAGATATACACTTAGATCAAATCTTGCAGTCGTAACTCACGCAAAACTCTATTGACTTTGGTCGAAATTTTGCCTGAGTGTGGACCGTGGATTTTGGCCAAAGGAAATAAAGATCTCCAATCTCAGTGCAAAGCTAGGTTTATTGTACAAAGTGATGTAGAAAAACGAGGGAAAAAAATACTTACCTGTGTAGGAACAGAAAGCTCCAAATGCTCTTCAGTTTCTGCCTGTCATCGCACCAGCTGTTCACCCTCTCTGCCCTGGGTTTCCTCCACCAGAAAGGAGCCCCTGTCTTAATGAAGGGGGCTGCGGCTCTGTCGCCGGCTGCTTTGCCCAGCGCTCGGCGGTGGCTGGCGTCTTTTTTTTTTTGGTGCCTTAATTGCAGCCTCTCTCGTTCTTTCTGCTTTTATGGATGGACTGGCTCCAGCCCCTGCTGGTGCTACTGCCTCAATGGCGACTGCAAAGCTCATCTAGGCTTTTAACTGCCACCTACTGAATAACTGTGGAATATATATGTAAAAGTATATGTATACAGGCTGTAATTTTCTGGCTTTCTCAACAAATGTACCAGATTTTTGCAGTTAGTCTTTAAGCCCTCCAAATATTCTGTAGTTCATCATTTAAAGCTGTAGTTTACATCAATCTGTGCTCAAAATTCTCCCTTTCTTTCAGCACCTAAACACAGAACAAGCCTCCCCCTTAACTTTAAAAAGCTTACAAAGCCTTTGGTAAGGCTAATCCCCAGTGGGCATAAACCAGCCTAGCCCTATTCAAATCAACGGGGCTGTTCTGATTTATACTAGCTGAGAAATATATCCCTTAGGTCTAATATTTATTCACAAAAATAGAGTAGATACCAGCATGTAAATCATGCCATAAAAATAGCGTTTATCTAAGACAGCCCTCAAAAATTCATTCATCTGAAACAGATAAGATTTTTTTTTTTTCCTGACAGTAGTGTAAAATAGGATTCTTGGGTTTTATGGGGAAACAAGAAAGTACATTGGTTTTTTCCTCCTTCAATGGTGATTTTTTTTTTTTTGTGAAAAATCTGATGTTTCCTTCAGCTGTTTATTTTTAAAGCAACTCCTAGATATACTCAGGGCTTTTCTTTCCAGACTAGAAGTGGGGTCCACTGGAGATATTTGGACTCCCACTGCAGAAAGGAAGTCTAAGTACAGGGTCTCTCTGGGAGTCACCAGGGGAGGTGTGGGGAGGTGCTACCTTCATAACCCAGTAGCAGAGGTATGTAGCACCATAGTTTCTCTAAGCTTGCAAGACATAGCTGGGTTGAGTGCTGAATAAAAAAACTCTGTGCTCATCCCTGCAGAGGTCAGGTGGCACCCAGCACCCTGGCACAGCAGCATGGTAAGTGTTCAATTTTTAGGCTTGCTGTGACTGGTGAGAGAAGCATGGGTGGAGCAGCTAGCTCCCAACAGCTGGTATGATTTGTTAAATGCCACTCTTGGTAAAGGGTGGCTTTGTTTTGCTTTTTATGAAAGATTAATTCATCATGTTAACGCTTTTGTCAATCACAGAAATGAAAAGTTTTCTCCTCTACATGTGTGTCTAACAGAAACATAAGTGTATTAGTATACAGGATGAACTGGTCAATATACCCTAAGACAGTAATTTGCACTAGTGCAGATTAATCCTGACCCCTCTTTCTACCAGCTCCCAGGCAGCAATCCGTGGATCACATGCCTTTCCCAGCCACAGACCTCCTCCTACAGCCTGGCAGCAAAGCCCTCCTTTTGGTTTTGTCACCACTTCTCAGCAATATCTTAATCCTGTGTGCTTGGAGAATTTGTTAATTAGTATCCTGAAACAAAAAAGTCAAGGTATTATAATTACTGCAACACAGCAAGGTTTAATCTTTACAGTTTATAGTATTACACAGCAGAGCTTAAACTTTATAGTATATAATATTACGTAGGGATTTAGCCTGTGCTTTTTCCTGGTTCTGCCTCATGGTTTCATGAGCGCAGAATCCGCATCCGCTTATTCAAGATATCTACAAAGAGCTTCTGTAGTTACAATGTGGCTACTCAGTAATTTTCAAAGGAAACAGATCTCAGACCTCAGTGAGTGTGTCCTTATTGCAAATGTGCCTTTCAATCTTCCTTAAAAATGGTAGAGGTATTTGATGAGCTTTAAAGTTATGATTTGCCACAACTTTTACTCACTCAGTTTACATTACAAGTCTGGGAGATTTTAGTTCTTGAACCTATTCCAACAGGATGGATATTGAAACTTTTAAAAACAGACCTTTTCAAAATCCCGATTCTTTCCAAAATAAAGTTTACTTCAATTTCAAGTATCAGTATACCCTGTTGCAATTCTTTCCTTACCTGTCCAAAGAACAGAAACCGTTCATTTACAGGTTGCAGAGATGTACCTGCACCGACAGACAGGTCTGGTTCTATAGCTTCACTAGAGGTCTCTCCCATTGAAATCACCACGAGATGGGCAGAAGCGCAGTACTGGATCACTGCATTATAATACATCATAAAGGATACTTGCGTGGGATTTCCCTTACTATCTCTGCTGAAAACTATCACGGCAGTTCCTACCTTCAGTAGTGGTTTTGTAACGCTGCTGCTTTTGATGGGGTTGTTCAGGTGGGCCAGACAAGGCAGACTTCCAAAATCCCAGGAGTGCCTCACCTCATCATAAACACAGGTCATTCCCACATGGTGCCAGCAGCGGATACCGCAGACCTAAACCCATGTCAGCCCTAAGCCGGCCAGCAGCAGCACAGCAGGGTACAGATTTTCCTGCCCTAAGCTGCAGGGAGGTTGCATTGCTCTGAATGCTGGTGTTAAGATCTGGCAGAGTGGACAGAATCTGTTCACGGTGCAGTGTTGCACTTCTCCCAGGAGCACCAAGGACCTTCGCTGTGCAACTCCGAAATATGTACCTGTATGTGTCATGTGTTGCTGAGTGGAAGGGAAAGTGCAGAGGGCAAGGGCACCAAGCTCCATGAGACTGTTTCTATCACAAGCCTCCCTCACAAAGAAAAGTCAGGCAAGCTACGTGATTATGTTTCTGTGCTACATCCCAAGCTAGAGAGGGCGTTTAAGGAACAAGAGACCTCCTTAGTTAGCAAAATATGAGCTACCTAGAGCTTGAATGCACATTTAGCACAAACCTGCATGGGTACATAAAGTACAGCTTCTGAGTCAAAATTCAATTCATGGCCCATATACAGCATGGAAAAATGAAAAAGTCTTCAGTTTCCCTGTAAAAGTTTAAGATGTAAGATGATTGCTCACTTGTAGAGATTTCCTCTCTGCAAGGCAGAATATAATCTTGACAAAGAGCAGCCAGCAGAGAGCAAGGACTAAGCTCAATTTTGTCTTTTCTGGGATGGTTTTCCTCCTGTTAACCTCTGTTTCTCTGGAATAATTTTACTAAACCACACCCTGGCTAAAATACATCCCTCTTCTCTTGCATACTTGGAAAGCTACTGCCTTAGCAATGCAATGTCTTAAAGATCTTCCCTACAAATATCCTTAAAAATGGCTAGTAGTTACCATAAATCTATAATAATTTGTTATCTTCCCATACTGCATTTCTGAGTTGTGCTCAAAAATGAGCTAATGAGTCATCTTCATCAGCAGTATGTAGGACATGACAAAAGATGTTAGCATACTATTTTTTTCAGAAGGATTTACTGGACTTCTTGTCCAATAGGAGGAAATTAATCTTAAGAAAAAAAATTGTTATTAAGAGTGTCTTTCCAGGACAGCTGATGGTCATCAGTGAGTTAACGCCCTGTTAACACCCTGTACTTGGTGCAGTGATTAGATTCCTACTCTGTGAATATGATAAGACTGTAGCTAAAGGACAGGTTATCACAAAGGCTGTATTTTGTATTTGTGCACCTCATTTGAATGTTAGGCAATTTCCACCATTGTAAATGAAGTATAAAAATTTAATGGTCTTTTTAGTGCCTGCACACTGCTTTGAACCTGAAAAACTCCAAAAAAAAAAAAAAGATAATTAGCAAGTCACTACTGTATATAATGTTGCAAATTTAATAATCAGGTTATTTACTGTATTTTTACAATTTGGCTAAGAGCATCCTAGCCCATTTACAATGCACAGGAGCATGTGACTATCTCTGGTAGAATTACATCTTACGTATAACGCAAGTGTGATTAAAACTCATATGTAGCGTATCAGGCAGTTAGTGGTCCACACCAATACCATGAGATGATGGGGCCAGATTCTTCCTGGGTGTAATTAACATTCTCATTTATGCTGAAGTAACTCCAGACTACCTCTTGATTCCATTGGCGTTAGAACATGTTTTAACAGTAAAGCCTGATTTGACAGCCAGGGTTACGCCGCGAAATGTAGAGAAAGCTCAAACTGCAATTCTTCTGGAGAGGGGCGTCTTATGCTGTAATATTTTCAGGCCCTGTGGGTAGATAGATGAAATACTGGTGTTGCTAGCTGTGGGCTTTTAGTTCATCACTTTGCAAGATAACATTGTGTTGCACACAAAAGTTAAAAATAAATAAAAATATTGTTGTAATAAGACCCTGCCTAGCTCTTAGTTTCCAGTAGAAGAAAGCAGCTACTCCAACAAAATTGCAAGACATGTCACTCCTATAGACTGTAGATGGAACTGGTAGTTTGGAGAAAGTAATGTCAGATCCCATAGAGTACAATTTTTTTCTCTCTTAGATTCTAGTGGATTTCAGCCCAGGCTTTCTCACTCAAACCTGCAATATGATGAACACAGTCGCCTTTAGACACCCTCTTGACCTGCAATTTCCATTATTGGTTGTATTACTCTGAACCAAAAGTTTCCAAGATTTTACCTGGTTCCTGGTGAAGGGAAAGGCTCAAGAAGACATTTTTGCCTTACTGTCTTGCCTTAATGTCAGGGTCATTAAGTCCAGGGCTTGCTTCTGAGCACTTGAGAGCAAGCAGGGGTTTGCTGTTGATTTACAGGGAAAGCAAGACAGAGCTTAACCCTCACTTGCTTCGGGGATGTCAGATACCATGAAAGTGATTGAAGGAAATAGGCTGTTGAATCCATTCTCTAGTATCTGTCCATGTACACAGGGGAGAGTGTTATTGTCACTGAAAATTTGTAGATAACTGCATTTAACATGATTTTCTGTGAAATGGGAAGAGAGTGTAACACAGCTCAGCATTTAACATGATCATTACCAAAAAATATACTGATAATATTTATAATAACCGAGGAAGAACACAGAAACAAAATTTCTCTGTTGCAAAGAGCAAAAATGGGCCACATTTAACCAGC